CACTTGGGAGCAGTTTTCCTGTGAGATTAACCAAATGAATACTAAAGCAAGAATCAAAATATTTCAAGTGATTTAAATGAATCTAAAATATTATCTTCATCTTCAGAATGCACAAAAAAGTAGATCCTGCCCAAGAAAATAATCAGAAGTTGGTTTAGGCAACTTTTCAGCTTTCTGTTAATTAAATGAAATTTATATGAGGTGGTGAGAGACTTGTGGTAGGTGTTCTGAAGGTCCCAAAACTGCATCAGAGATTTTGTTCATTTTCATATTTTTAATTAATAGACTTTTCTCCCCGTCTTCCATCAGTGAGTGAGTTTTTCTTTCATTTATTTGATATAGTTTATCTCCTCCAGCCATTCATATACAACCTTATTGGATCCTGGGACTTAAGGATCCATCTTTTGGCCACCAGAGAAGCATAACTAATGACAACATTAAAGTGGCTTTGTGAGCGTGGCCATCAGAATGTCGATCAGCCAAGCAAGAAATAATTTTGGATTTCAAAATCAGCATGAATAAACATGTATGTTTAGAATCAGGTGAACTAAAATAAACGGAGAGCTTAAATTTTAAAGCTTTGAAAGGTGCTGATGAACTAACTGACTCTTCATGTGTCATGAATGTGAGGTTCTAAGGGGGAGAAAAAGCTATTTTATGGAGATTCAGGCCAAGAACAGTGTTTGTTTTCAGTCTCTGAGGGGAATGAATGATGATGCCACACAAGACGTCTTCAGAGTGCTGTTTAATTGAAGTGACATTTGAAGATTTTCAAGCACATAGAACTGTCACATCCATTAGCATCTTCATAATTACTGTGCTTCTGGCCCCCGGACTGGACAGGAAACATGTGGCCAGCTAGCTCTGGACCCAGTAGTAAGTCCACATGTACTCTTCATTAAGACATTTTTTACTCATTTACTTTTAATGAATTAGGCATTGTGGTCAGTGTGACTCATAACTATTCAGTATTTGGCCCAGTTCTTATCCAAAACAGCTCATACATGTTAGTTTGACTGTCAGCAACACTTAACACCAACAATTAACATAGGCCTATGGCTTTGAAGCTATACTGCCATGTCCAAAAAGTGTTTGG